TATATTAATGAAGTAATCAAAACAAATATTAAATGAAATAAAATCATTACTTATCATTTATTTTTGTGTGCCAATTGTATTTGCAAAATTAAAAATCAAAGAAATTTAACATCCGAAGTTCGAACATAATTTAAACCTAAACGGTTATTATAAGTTTTCTTAAAATAAATTAAATGTTAGAAAAGATTTATTCGCATAACCAAAATTTACAAGGTATAACATTGTAACATTTATATAAATAGACAAATATTGTAACATTTATTTCTGAAAACGTAACTAAGCCAAAAAAAAAATTACAAATTGATTGAAAACCAAATCATGACACTCTTATCCCTTAGATCTCTTTGGTAACACCAACACATGAGTTCGGTTATAATGTCATCAAAATAGCCAAATCAATCCGATCTACAATAATTAAAATTAATGTATAAGTAACAAAATTAAAGACATCTCTCTATTCTAATTCTAATAAAAGAGTAGATTTATTCTCCTTTTGTTATGTGCCATCCTATTAGGTCTCCAATTAATGGAATGTCATTTCTCAAGAGTTTTTGACCAAATAGGTGTCTTTCAAAAAAATATTTACTAAATAGGTGTAATTTCAAACATATTTACAAAATAAGTGTATTTTTAAATATATTTACTAAACCATATTTACCAATATTTTAGATAAAAAGTTTCTGATTTTTTAATATAACTTTTAACCTTTTTTTTAACTCTTTGTTATTAATTTTTGTCAAAAAAAATTACATACATCTTATTTCTGATTTCATCATCACATCATTTTATCATTGAATGCCATATTTAAGTTTTTTTCTAATAAAAGCAATCACAAAATGCAATAAACGGTTGAAAACATAGAAACAACAGTTTCCAACATCTATCCTAAGAATTCCATAAAGAACTTGAAATTCTCATAAACTAATCCACCAACTTTACAGAAAAGTAAGAACATATTCATCTTTTGTTTCTCAAACAGAGCAAGTGGAGAATGTAAGTAGATTCACATCAAGTTCTTCATGGTTTCTGGGTTCAAAGGCTGCAGTTGAAATATTATAACATCAGAGGCTATTTCCATTCAAAATAACATGCTTCGTTCTAGGATTTTGATTTTTATGCTGCAGTGTTGTGATCAAAACATAAAACTGAACAAAGACATTTGTAACAACGAAATTTCATCATTTGTTGATGAACAAACATGTTACTATAATTGCAATTTATGGTTTGATGAGATGAAGTTGTTTAAAATGCATAAAGTTGCTTCCGGGAGTCTGCTGTGATGGAGGCGGACTGGCTGGCGTCTTCACAAATCTGAATGTTGAAGCAAATAGCAGTTGGTTGCAGTTAAAAATCAAAGTAGGAATCAGACTTAAAATAGGAATCGGACTTACAGGAATGTAGTGCTTGCCGGGAGTCTGCTGTGATGGAGGCGGACTGGCTGGTGTCTTCTGTAGCCAGAATCGGAATCAGCATCGAAAAACAGTTACAAGAAATTAAGGCTTGCTGGCGTCTGCAATGGTGGAGGCTGACTCGTCGGCGTCTTCTGGGGTGGAGGCGGACTCGCCAGCATCCGTTGTGGCCAGAACCAGACTCGCCACGACGACCGTCGGTTATGGCTGGAGTCGAAGAATGTGATTGGGGTGTCGGGGGAGCTTGGTGTGGCCGATCCATTCCGTTTGCTTTGTTAGTCGGTAACTTTAACCCTAAAAGGTAAATATGTTTAAAACTACACTTGTTTGGTAATTATGTTTTTAAAAAAACACCACATTGGTAAAAAAAACTCCATTTCTCAACCTATTGATTCTCCATTTCAAATTTCAAAATTTTCATTCTAATTACATTAAACTAATCCATACTAATAAATGAAAAACTTTTTGCCACATGTCATGTTTTCATGCATTTTGACACATGTAATTTTGTGGTTAATTCTTAGAAATTAATTTCCACTTGTCATTTTGTGGTAATTTTTAATTTTCTTAATTAACTATCTAATTTTTAGGTTATAGAAAGTAACTAATGTGTTATTAATTTGTTTCCTTATATTTTCAAATTTTAATATATTTCCTTCAATATATATAATTCAAAATTGATATGTTTTTTTCAAAGTTCATTGTCATTTTAGGCAAAAGGGTCTATTTAGAAAAAATAATCAAAATTTATTGTTTTTTATTGACAAACTAAAAAAAGGTTATATGGTCAAAATATAATTATTTTTCTGTAGTTTGTTTTATTAGTATAAATTTAATTATTTATTATTTCATCATTTTGTTTGTATATATTTTGAAATTTTGTTTTAAAAAATACTTAATGTTTATATTTTGATATTTAATGTTTTCTTTAAAAAAAATGATTCATGTTTATATCTTTTTATATAAAATTTTTTAATCGACCCGTGTAGTACACGGGTTTCACACCTAATAACATTAGAATAAACATTAAAATAACATTAATACAAATTATAAGGTCACATATTTATTTAAATCAACGATTATAATTTTATATAACTAAAAAAATATCTCTTAATTAACAATTTAATTAAAATAAATGATTAATAATTTTGATTTTTTTACTATGAAAATTTAATTAGTTTCAAAACCACGGTTCTCACGGGTTATAAACTAGTAAAATTATAAAAGCCTCAACTTTTTTTTACCAAATAGTCTCTTTATCACAAGAAAATGTCCTCCACAAAATCAACTTCCCACCAAAGTATATTGCTAAATACAAAATGTGTACAATTTATCTAATATCTCAAAGTAGTACCCAAACAATATTTGTAAAAAAGAACCATCAAACAACTTTGTTGTAATCGACTTTTTCTAAGAAGAAGATAATTTCTTTTAATCATAAAACCCATAAACCAAAGAATGATAGATTTTCCTACACTTTTCTATTATTCCAAAAATCAATCTTTCACAACCAAACTTTTTGGACAAACATGACCTTGAAATCAATCTTTTCATAACCAAACCCAAACTATTCAATAAATCACCATTGTGTGAGTTAGACTCGAAAAGAATCATGATAAAATTTGAGAACTTGTCTCTAATCGTGTGTTACAAACTCAAGAATTTTAAGTAACCACACAGAGGAAGGTGAAGATGGAGACCCTCTTAGAATACTATGAATAATAACCAAAAAAGTTAAGAAAACGTTATGTTTGGTTCTATGGCCAAGATCATAGTGAAATTATTATAATATATATTTGGACTGCTATATAGACTTAAATAGGAACAAAAAACAGGATAATATTGAGAAAATAAAAACATTATTATAAGAGTTGTTTGTCCCTACCTAGCATGTGATCAAATTATTATTAGAAGACTATGAAACCTTCCAAGCTAGTCTCCTCCAGACCTGTTGAATATGCATTTGAAACAATTTTTAGAAGGCGCATAGGTTAAGAACAAATTATTACATAAGAAATTAAAAAGAAAGAAAGAGTTAAAAGTTAATATACCACACTTAATTGTAACAAAAGCTTGTTCCCTTCATCGAATTTATGAACAACACCCGAATATGCAAGAAATAACAACAAATATATGCAAAGCAAAGAAACAAACATGTTTTCCACTTCTGGTGCAAATTTCTCATATTTAAAAGGCCTGACTGTAAATTAGTGATATTTAAGAAAATTACCAACCACCATCAAGGTTGTCGACACAAATGAAACATCACAAGAGCTACCAGATTATTGTTTTTTTAGAATATATATTCACTTGGTTAGCTTGACATAATTGATTAACATGTACAGAAATATAAACAATAGACTTCACTAACCTCCATTTGCCCAGTAATTTGATATGAGCATAAAGAAATCAAAACTCTAAATCTTATGTAAATAGTTTCCCAAAGAGCTACCAGTAGAGTAATATATATATATATATATATTCTGAAAATTACCTCTCTATATTTCTTCAAGTACGATTTAAGGGGATTAATGTAATCTTCAACCCTAAGGTTGCCATTGCTAATAGAAGATCACAACCATTGATAGTTTTTCTCTTCCCTTTGACAGTTAACACATGTGCTGCATCCAAATAACATACATATTTAAAATCAGAGGAATATAAACACAACACACCACAAATAGAAACATTTTTTTGGCATATTTAAAGCTAATGGGACCTGAATTGCATCACACTATAAGCATACAGTCAACCTGCAAGTCTGCAATCATTAAAAATTTTATTATTGTTAACATGAACCAAAACAGATGCAAATAGAAAACAGATGCGTACACAAGCTTTCTAGATCATGAGAATTAAGTGTTCATTAGCCATAAAAAAGACATGAACATAGCTCTTAGGCTTGTTCAAACCATTGGGTGCCTTGGACTCCCCTTCATCCCGCATCTTCAAAAACATTTAAAATATAAACTTTAAGTTATTAAAATTGATAAAAACCAACAAAAAAATTAAACCATCAAAATTACTCAAAGAAAATAATATATACCTCATGAGAAATAAGAAATGTAAACATTCACTGAGCATTGGAACAACTGATAAAAGAATAGTCCCTCCAAACATAACATAGATAGATACACACAAAAATTTGTACAAAAGTTGAAAGAAAAAATGACATGACAAAAAACATGAAGAAAAATCAAAATTAAGATCAAGAGTGAGGTTTAGGGCTTGAAATCGATGCTTAACTTTAATATATACTGGTGTGGTTGTGTGATGGTGGCACGATTTAGGTTTTCCAGATCAAGAGAAAGGGATTACGGAAAACAATATTTATGAAGGTCAATATTGGGTGAGGGAAGAAGCATTGGTCGAAACACATTGAGCTTGACAACACTTTGTTCAAGACAAAGTTGTCATTGGTCATGTTCTTGTTTTCCGTGTCCCCTCTCGGTATCGGTATGCATATATCTTTTCCACCATCACAGAGACAGAGTTTACCAAGTTCCATACCAATTTGAGTTGGAATTTGAGTTTTCATATCGTTCATGGCATCCAAGAAGTCCAAAAATGAAGACCCTGCATTCACGGTTCGTTCCTTCTAAAATATATCCAAGTGTCACTGTGTGTGTGTGTGTGTGTATAGCCAACGATATATAATATAATATACATGATCATGTAATCTGTTTGTTCCTGTTATTGCATGCAGAACTTCACCATTAAAGTAGACGTTGAAGGTTCATGGACCAAGGCAGTGAAAAAGGTATTGAACAGTGTTCAAGGTAATGTATTGTATGTTGGTTTCTACTCATTCATTTGATTAGTAATTAACCAATCATTTTTATGTTTTTCTCCTTAAAGATTGTTGGTTGATAGTTTGTTGTTGTTGGTGGTGAAATTAAGGGGTGACTAATTTCAGAATGGAGAACAACGGAAAGGTAAATATTTCGGGATACATCGATCCAACCCTACTTCTAAAGTGTGGAGAAAGCAGGAAAAACAGCAGAGATAGTACATTGGCAAATATGGAGAATGTTCAAGCAACTTGTTTGAAAAGACAGAATCACCCTTGCCCTTGCCCCTGATTAATAATAATGGGTATGGGCATGGGTATCCCCCCAATTATAATTATAATTATAATTATAATTATAATTTTTATAATTATAGAAGAAGGAGGAGGAACTACGCCTTCAACCATCTGGAATGTGCAGGGAATGCTTCCGACTGTTGTGGACATCATATACAAAACCCAATAACTCCCATTAAATCTTCTTCTTCTTCTTCTTCCCAAACTCAGTTCCAAAAGCTTGCATCTGGTCACCCCCCATGCTGCAGTTTGATGTGAAGAATTTCTTCAAAATAATTAAGTTGTAGGTTTCTGTACTAGTGTTTGAATCTGACTATGGTCTGGTTATATTTTTTTTACCCAGATTTTTCATTTTCATTTTCAATTGAATTAATTAATATAAGGTTGAGTATTTTAGTAACATGTTTATGGTGACTTATCTTACAACATATGTATGTATAACCAAACCAAACCAAACCAATTCAGCTCTGCTACTGTTTCTTGGCGTACTCCCTTGGTCCAAAAATGGTAGATCCAATCCTTACATTTGTGCTTCCCATTTCAATCTGCAAATATAATTCATAAATCAACTTGTTCCAATCAAACCTCACAGTTTTTTAAACTCACCGCTAGTTCAAAGTCCCCAGACATGCCCATTGACAGCTCACACTGCTTTTCTACCATTCCAAGTTCCTTGCAGATCTCACTTCGGCACCTTGATAGCGTCTATACCATCCAGACCATCCAAATCACACATACAATTCACTAAACTATATAGCCACATAAATAAACAAGAAACCTAAACAGATTTTACCTTGAAATTCTCTGGAGTCGATGTATAATCTGGCATTCCAATAGTCATTAACCCAGAAAACACCAGATTTGGGCAACTAAGCTTAACATGCTTCACAAGATCTACACAGCTTGAAGGTTCAATCCCAGATTTTGCTGACAATAAATTAATGGTTACTTACAATCAGCCCATGTATATGATTTTGTCTTAAAAAGGAATCATGATGCTTGTTCACTTACATGCCTCTCCACTCGTATTTACTTGGACCATAACTGCCAAAGGTTTTCTTCCAATGCTTGAAACTGCACGATCAAGGTGATTTGCAATCTGTGAATCCAAAATCCATGTCAACACATTCGTCATTCTGTTATTCATTCTATCAATTTGGAGTTAGGTTACCTTCTCGTTATCTACACCCTGCACCATCGATAGATTTGGAACAGCAGCTGGATACAAGATAAACAACATCATTTATATATATTCATCTTATTAGTTTAAGAATAGCCCCATTCTATGATGGTGGATCCGTTACCGAGTAGGGATTTTGCTTTATTGCTCTGTAAATGTCCAATAAAATGCCAGTCGATATCCTTTGGAAGCTGCATGAATTAATCGATTTCTTCAACGCCAATAGGCTTTAGATAATCGATTCGGTATAAACGAACTGAGAGACAAAATAGTACCTGAGGAGCCTTTTCGATGAATTCTTGGACATAGTTTTCCCCAAAACAACGCTGTCCTGCGTCGTAGACTTGGCGGATGAGAGAGATAGGTTTAGTCTTGCTCACTGCCACCACCCGCACATCATCGGCATGGCGACCAGATCTTTCCGCCGCATGCCGGACACGGTGAAGAACCGATCGCAGAGCCGTCACCGCTGCAGACTCCACAGCCTGAGCAGCCATTCTGGATGATGCCTCTCTCTGGTGTTATAGTTCCGGTTTCTGTTTCTGTTGTTGATCATACTCATGGATGAGAATTGGGTCCTCCGGTTTATACAAAACCACTGAAAGTGTGAGGTTGTCAATCCAACATGTCGATGACACCATCACCATATGTGTGTGTGTGAGAGAGCAGTAACTTATTATAATTCTAATTCTAAATATATACAATAAGTAAACTTTAGTTTGTGAGTAATAACACTGTAGCTAAAAGTATATGATGTTATGCATGATGTACAAATGTTTGATGCGGGAGGTCTAAATTTAATCCCTCTAACTTTATATAATCTTTCACTTGCAACCCCTATTTTGTAAAATAAACTCATCTACTTTGTAATATGATATTTTTCCTTTCTTTACTTTTTAAAATATCACTTTCATTCCCTCCACCTTCAACTTTGTAAATATTATTTTCACCCTTTTATTTTCTAAACTTTTGTGTTTATCTCAGTCTCCGTAAAATTTAGCTGTAGCTAATAGTACAAGTGGTAACCCTTCTAATTTGTAAAATGATATTTTTTATCCCTTTACTTTTTAAAATATCACTTTCACCCCCCTCCACTTTCAACTTATGTGTCACACCCCAAAACCGAGAACGGCGGAATACGTTCTGGGGTGGAGGACGTCATGTACAGTATCA